GTGTGGACGACTTTGAGAGTAACTTTCTCAGCATAAAAAGGGTAAAACCGAGACGGACTTGTTGCAATGGCCTATGCGAGCCCTGTTGTAGAATATGAAGAAAGTCGCGAGACCTCGGTCTTGGTGAGACACTTCGAGAAAGATACTACCACACCTACCGAGAGCTTCCAACTGTATTCTTCGATGCATGGCGTAAAGTATGTAGTCTGCCTGCCGTGTGCTGTAGTCCTCGGTCTTTTTCGTGCCTCTGATTCCGAATATGAGGGAAAATCATGCGAAAACCCCGAAGCCTTTTCCTCACCTTCGGACAAGGATGGACTTGTGTTCCGGCGCTAGACTTGTCGTATCCCACTTAAATAGTTGCACAGTATGCGTTTCTGTTAAGTTTGCCATGCAGCTCTGGGGCGGGCGGCGAAAAAAAGGGCGGAGAAAATTTTGCGGTTTTTGCCTCTTGACTTTTCGAAGCTGCGCATATTGCGCCTCATTATGTTTTAGAAGTGAGTCATTAGAATATGTTAAGTCCCAGTAGTTCGCATTTCTCATAATTCTGTTCAATGGAAAAGTGTGAAGCACTAGCAGACTGATATTTGTGATCTTATTCGCCAATAAAGGCTTTATTTCAGAATGTCACCTTATTCTTTGATGACGATCGAACCTCTATCTGGGCATCAAGAAATGGAGCTAGGTAATTTTGTTTTGGCCCCTGATGCTATTACAGGGATAATGATTACAGGGATATTTATTCGATGCCAGAGACCTTTCAATACAATGCAAAGTCCAACATTTGATTCGTAACATGAGATTTCCAGGCCAATTCCTGTACCAATCTGCGGCTTCTCTGGAACGGATTGCCCTAAGGAATTTTGGAAAGAATATGCGTTGTACGTTGGAATAGCATTAGCACTGCTAGTGATCTTTATTGTAGTCATCGTCTGCTTGCTGATCCACTTTATCAGGTTTGCTATATGTTTAGAAAAAAAGTAAGAGTGATCTTCTTACATATAACCACGACTTTCTAATTGCTATCACTTTCGGGTAAATCTAATGATATCAATCAAATTAATCTCTTGTTCGCAGTGAGCTCATTTGCAATCACATAAAATGTAAAAGAATTTGCAGAGAAAGACTGCGTGCCCAACAACGTTTGATGGATGAGTGGAAAATCGCTTACAGCAGAATAACACTCATTACAGCGAAGGTAGTAATATCTTCAACATAAGCTTCTATCACATGCATTTATCAGGAACTGGAGAAAAACTCGAGAAGCTATCGCTCCCTACAGTCCGGACCATCAACTATGACAGCCAGTAGCGTTTTCGAAAATGAGGACAGTATCTTCACAGCGGCTGTTCTCGACAAGGATCCTGTCCTCATCACAAAGCATCCTCCCACAATGTTATCGAAAACATTTTATGAGAACTGTTACAAGGTGAATTGTCAATTACCCAGGTCAAACAAAAAATGGATCGGTCAAAAATTTC